GAAGGCAGACAGGGGAATCTCTTCTCAGAAAACATTCAAATCGATGTAGACATTTATGACTTGTGAAAGTTGTAAAAGCATCACACAGCGTTCTCATAAAAAGCAATAAACCCTATTTACAGCCCTTGCATTATTGGTCCTGGTAACTCAAACCAGAGCTACTTCTTCCCATTTGAACAATATGTATTTCAAGCAGGCCTCTTCTGATCTCATTTGGAAACAGGGAAAGCAGTGACCTTATGAATCTGGATTTGAAGATGGGGATGGGGGGGTGGGGGGAGAAAAGAAGCAAGAAAAAGGATTGCTTTATTTGCATTTCTTTGTGACGCTTGTTTTGCAACCAGTCCTGTGTTGTTCGCTGGAAGCTGAACAGTAGAATTTTTCCCCATTCAGACTTATAAAACTGGGCCAAGTGAAGGCTTCTAGAGTTCAATGGGAAGCAGTCAATCCATGCTGGCCAGTGTAAATGACGCAGAACAGTATAACTAAGGAACCAGAGCTTGGAAAAGTTACTTTATTGAACATCAGTTCTCAGGCTCCTCCCCCATCCAGGGGATTTTGGGAGTTGTTGGCCAAAAAATTAACTTTTCCAACCTTTGCTAGGGATGGTTGAGAATTTTGTATGTATTTGGGTTTGTATCTGAATTTGCCCAGACTGGCAAACTAGGGGAGAAATAGGGGAGTTTTGCCCAGGCAAAACTCTTGTTTCTGATAATTCTTTAAATCAGAATTTACTAAACTTTACCACATGTGCATTTCTGAGAAAGCAAATCTGACAGATTGACACATACTTAGGTGGAGCATATGGTAACTTTCTTTCTTTCATGAGCATAATTCTGGTGAATATATTTTGAATCAGTTGCACGAGGTTCTAAACCATATTTTAAAGCAACCTCATATATAAAGCATTGCTCTAGTTTAGGCTACATCTGCACTGGAGAAATAATGCAGCTTGACACCACTTTAGCTGCCACGGCTCCATCCTATGGAATCCTGGGACTTCTAGTTTGTTGTGCCACTGGAGCAGAGAAGGACACAGAAAGCTAAACCACAAATCCTTGAATTCCATAGCGTGGAGCCATGGCAGTTAAAGCAGTGTCAGAGGGAAGGAGAATAGACACAAATAAATGTGGATATGCCCAGGAAAATGAAGATAATTAAACATCAGTGCAAATGTGTGTTAATCTGCATAAATTTGTACAGTACACTTACGTGTAGACTGCCCCCAGCATTGACTACTGAGATGCTGCTTCACTCCACCATGTTTTACAATTAAAATGAAACAAACCCAAATATTAAAATACTACAAATTTCCAGGACTTTCTCATCCGAAAGGAAATGGAAGCCCGGACATATTGTTGCTCCATCTTCGCATCACCCTGGGAAGTGGTGAGCGTGTAACAGTACAGTCCAATGTTTTTCAGTCTCCAAACAGTACAGATGTTCAAGAAAGGAGGGAGTCAGTCTAGCAAAAAAGGGGCCTGATCCAGAGATTATAAGAGCCAGTGAAGGTGGTGGTGATGGTGGTGGGAAGCCAGAAGTTTGAGTAACTTAATTAGGCCATCCATCAGCTTCAGCATCTGTCTGATCCAAGACGTGAGAAAAGTCTGTTGAGGGAGATTTGTTTATAATTCAGCTTTCTCAGCCTGGCCAAATATATGAAAAGAGGCTACCCTGTGGAGATAGCTTGGGTGTCAAGTTACCCTTGGTGGGAAGCCCACTGGCTCTATTGGCTACGATCAAATTGTCTCCGACTGTTGTTATCGTCCAAATAACCAGGCCGAGCCTTTCAAACCCTGCCAGAGGCATCCACTAACCCACTGTATATGTCAAGGAATTATTGATTGATTTATTTTTTTAACGGGGCTTGTAAAAAAGCAAACTCCTTGAGTTCAAAGTAAGTAGCACAAGAGAGGCAGCCATCTGGGAGGGCTCTCTAGATAGATGCATGTGTGTGTAAGCTTGTATTCTGTAGAAAGTTCAATTTCAGGATTGGAGATGGGTTTCGAATGGGGTGGGATGAAAGTAGATTTTTCTAGCTACACAATGGCTTTTTGAGACATTCCCCACTGTAAAAGAGGGGTGAGCAATTGCACTGTAGACCATTTTACACCGCAATGCTGCTTTCTGGATGGGATACACTATGCTGCCATGTTGAAACCAGAAGTGATGTGACCTTAAGTAAAGTTTCATTTTCAGGAAATGATTGGCAGGCAATTTTCTTTCTTGCGCGTGTGTGTCTATGTTTCTGGGGAGCCACTGGGGTGATAGGAGAAGAGCTGCTGTATTTTGCAGATTTTTAAAAGCCATTTTTTAAAAATGGTTTTGGCATGCCCAGTTTGTATGTTTGTAATTTGGGGAGCAACTTCACAGTAGAAATAATGCAGTTTGACACCACTTTAAGTGCTCAGCTCCAGACTATGAAATTTGTAGATTCACAAGCTCTTTAGGATTCTGTAAATTAGAGCCAAGGCAGTTTAAGTGATGTCAAACTGCATTATTTCTACAGTGTAGATGCATCCTTGGATGAGTTCAGGAGCTCAAGGGATAACCAAGGCAGCTTCAAGTCCCATACAACATGCTTTGCTTGGCACTGATCTAAAAAAGAAAAGAGGTGAAAGTGAACACACACACCATACTTTGCTCCTTACTTGCAGCACATCAGTAGCACTATTTCCTATGAGTGCATAGTTACACTTTTAACTGTTCCTTAATGAATCTGTCTTAGTTCAGCAGCAAAACTGGAATCCTTATACCTGCTGCCTCATCGAGGTTGGAACTGGTTGCCAAAATGGGTTCTGTTTGGGAAACAATGACAAACTTGAACACAAAGACCTTAATCCCATTGGAAGTCCAAACTAGACTACACCCATTGAACCAGTGGGATTTTCTTATGTGTTGGCTCATTATTCAACACTTGATCCAATATATCTACTCAACTTGGAACAACTGATAGGATTCAAGCCAAAAATGTACTTTGCTCCTTGCTTTCTCCCTATAACTATGGCTGTTTTCCTGATCGGAATTAAGATCCCAGCTCGACAACCATGTACAATATGTGTGAATGAAGCTGAGGCTTAAATAGTGCACTCCATGCATGCAAGGAAGTAGATCATAATCCATGAACGCATATGCCCAATTAAACCTGCAAGCTCTAAAAATGTCCCAAGACTTTTCTTGGTTGTTCACACATGTATTTCTTATCAACTGTTGATGCACCCATTTCCATTCCCTGTGCCCCACGTAACATGCATAACATGTGTCTGGTATTCATTCCCCTATCCACTTTTCCCCAACTGTCCATCTAGATTTATCTCTACGTACTTATTCTACATACAAGATGCACTCTACATAATTATTCTACAGACTCATGGCTATATCTTTGATATATCATTACCTATCAGGTTTCCAACTGCATATTCTTTCCCCCAACTACATGTTCCTCTCCTCCAACTACACATTTTATCTTCAACTGCATGCTAAAATACACATACCCACATCCTCTGGATATGGCCTGCCTTCAACTCAATGACAATGACAATGTTGACAACAACAACAACAACAACAACCAACAATATTTTTGTGTGACTTCAGATCATTTTCAACTTATGGTGAGCCTCTCTATCCTAGAGAGGTTTTTTTTTGGCAAGATTTGTCCTGAAGAGCTTTGCCATTGCCTTCCCCTGAGGCTGAGAGCATGTGAGTTGCCCAAGGTCACCCAGTGGCCTTCATGGAAGAGCAGGGATTCAAACCCTGGCTTCCAGATTCATAGTCCAAGGCTAAAACCACTATAGCAATCTGACTCTGGTTACAACATTTGAATTTCCTCTCTACAAACAAGTTATCTGAAATGGCAGGGAAGTGATGCATAGCTGTTTTCCTCCCCTTGCAAACATAATAAGAGAAGATGCTCTCAACTGAGACTCTCAACTGAGGTCACATAGCTAAAGCTTCCCTTCCATCTGTACCCTTGTCCCAATCTGGCTCATCCCTCCTCCTAAACTGGGCCCATTCAGAGCTTTTGGGGGAGTGGATTGGAATTACATTTTCACTACAACATCTATAATGCTTCACGGATGGGGGCTGAAGTCCCCAAATGTACATATTGCTCAGCCTTTGCTCCTTTGTAAAAAAAATAACGGAGCCATTCCAAAACACAATGACTGGTCCAGCCAAGGGATGTATTCATGGTATTCTTGAGAAACTCTATTTTCCATTTTATTTTCTACCTTCCTGGTCAGAGTATCTTGTCCTGCCACAACCCTACTCACCAGGTTGCTACATTTGATGTTAATTCTGCACCTCCAGCAAACCCAGTTGTTATTTCTTATTTCACAGTCTGCTTATGATTTTCTTTCCTTTTTTTATTTAAAAATCTAAGGCTCTGTCTTCACCCCACTACACTAACTCCTTTATGTGCCAGATAGTTTAAAGTGAAGCGGGGATGGAGAAAAGAAGGGAAAGGAAGGAGGGAGCAAAAAGAAAGAAAGAAAGAAGGTTAAACCCAAACCACAGATTAGAATCATTGCTCCGAAATTGTGGGTGTCTGACAGATGCTTTCATCCTGTATATTTAAATCTTTTAAAACAAAAATACCACAGCTTCTATGCAGCCTTTTAAAAAAAAATCCTCCATCTGGGAAGAGAAGAGAGGAAAAAATGTGAGCGATGGAAGCAGAGAGATCTGCATCTTGGTCCACTTTTCCTTTTAAGGTGTACAAACAGGTCTTGGAGAGCTACACTTTGGATGCACAAAATGGTGCTCCATCATTCTCTCCTTCTGGCCAAATTTCCCCCTGTGCCAAAAAAGAAGGAGAACAACAGCAAGGGGGGGCTGGGAGAGAGAATGGGGGGGGTAGAATTTGGCTTGTAAGGCAGACGGTTGCAAAAATCCAAAGGATAGCAAATTCCATGTCAGAGAGGGAGCTGGGCAGACCTGTTTTGCTTGGCTCCTTGCCCATTCACTTATATGAACTCCGAGCCATTTTTTTTGCTCAGCAGGGCCAACCCCCAGAGAGGCTGTTTCAGAAGGAAATCTGTTTCAACTTCAATGAAAACTGTCACACTTCCTTTCCTCCTCCTCATTTGCCTCGTAATTTACCTTGGGAATATGTGGACCATGTGAAAAAATGCAGCCACCCACACAAGGGGGAAACCCACCCACCCAGACTGCAGGAAAACATGGGTTAGGCATCCATGTGAGAGCATCCTCTGGGTTTAAAAATTAACTTGCTGTGGGTGTTTTTACCAGAAGAGGGAAAGAAGGCAACATAAAATTGGGTGCAAACTAGTGTAACATGCTATTCTGTTCTATGGCAGCCTTTCCCCTAAGAGCTGGGACTCAGGTGGAATGATAAATAATATTTGGTTTGCATATCAAGAAATCGCAGACATTCAGTATAAAGCATAAATGGGAAAAGTGCAGCCTGTGGGCTATAAGTGGCCCAAGGGACCCTTGGGAATGTGTGCAGGGGGTATTTGGGGGCAATCTGTTTTCAGAGATTGTGACCCTCCTAAGTTCGCTGTGAGCCAATGCAACTTTCTAATCCTGGACAGTTGCCCATTCATGCCATACAGAAATTTAGCATTCTGGGGAGATAGCAAAGCAAACACAGAGTCAGCACATTTCAGTGGTTAGAGCGTTGGACTGGGACATGGAAGATACTGGTTCAAGTCCTTACTGAGCCATGAAAGATTGCATTTACATGAATGCAGTTTGGCCCTGCTTTAACTGCCATGCTCCATGCAATGAAATTCTGCAATTTGTAATTTTGTGAGATCTTTAGCTTTCTCCATCAGAGAGCTCTAGTGCCACAACAAACTACAAATGCAAGCATTCCATAGATGGAACCATGGCATTCTGCAGTGTGGCAGCAGCTGTAGCTATATTGCCATAGCTTTGTCTCTCAAAGTTACCTAATTTGCAGCAGTACAGCTCTCTGCCCCACCTGGCCTTTTTTATGTTGCCGGAAAGAGGAGGGATGAGTAAAGAAGCATCCAGCTCTCTTTCTGTAGCTGAGCACCTTGTAACAGCCATCTGTCCTAGTCTGTTGCAGCATGCCCAACTACAAGAAGAGAGCCTGATATATATCTTTCATTCCCTTGCTCTCCAGCAACATGGAAATGGTCATGTTGCTGGGGTGTCTGTGCTACTGAAAATTCAGAATTTTTTTTGGGGGGGGGTGGTGCTTTTGTGCGATGTATATACCGTACAATGATCATGAAAGTGAATTCCAATGTTGTAAGGTAGATTTACGAGATCATAATTACTGATCAGGATGTCAGCCATACATTTCTACTATTTTTTGATGATGGAACCTCTGAAAATTAGCTGGGCCTTACTAGTCATATCTAGATCCAATGGTCATGCTGGCTGGTGCATTTTTGGAGTTGTAGTTTCCAAAAGTAACTTTTTCAAGTTCTGATGCTGGCCAAAATTGGCCTGCATAGACATGATGAACATTTTGGATGTGCAAATTGGCCAACAAAAACCACCAGTGCCAAGGTTTTTGGTATGTGGCTTTTTTTAAAATACACATTTCTGGTACTTTTTTCAAGACCACCAAGCAACAGATATTTTTAGGTGGATCTGAACATTTGATTGTTCTTATTGGTTACTCCTTGTTTTGATCCGAGCCAAACCAATAAGACTATCAAATGTTGCTCCAGTGGGTGGCCCTAATGATTTTACCGTTATAGCCGTAATAACCAAAAGGAAAGAAGAAAACCAACTGCTTGAGGATTGCCCCAGTTAATTGGGAAGAGTGGAATTTGTTGCATATGAGCAAATACACCAAACCACTGACTTGTTAGTGGCTTTAGAAACAATATTGCAAAGGTAGATATTGTGCCACTGGCAGAGTGGTGGTCCTGGAATTTGCCCAACGTCTTGGGAGACCAAAATCCTATCCCCCCCCCCCTTCACTCCAGCATCACTTTCCTTTCTACACAAAGAAGATCAAAAATGTTGTGGACACCATTTCATGTAGGAGTCAACCCTCGACCTTGGACAGAAATGTAACAGCAAAGGAAGCTGACTTATATTAAGTCAGAACCTTAGTCCATCTAGGACAATATTTTCAAAATTTTCAACAGTAAGTAGTGGTTATATTGCAGGATTTCAGGGAGGATTTTTTTCTTTTAAAATACACTCCTTCCTGGAAGATCCCTTATGATCTCTAGATCCAACAACTAACAAGGCCTGACCATGCTTAGATTCCTAAATCAAACAAGATTGTTTGTCCATCTAAACCAGTGGTGGGCAATTTCAGTCTGACAAGACATATGTGCTCCCCACCAGCCATTTTTGTAGTCCCCTAAAAATGCAATAAAATAAATTAAAATTGAGAAGTACATTCCTGGAAGTCACCAGAAAGTTTTACTTTCCTTTAGATCCCATTGTGTGCCCTCTCCACATTATTTTTGAATGAAAACAGGGAGTGGATGTGAAATAATTTTGTGTTCCATCTGGATAGATTGGTGTGGCTCAGGGTGGATTGTTGGGGCACCACATTGGTCCTCAAACATTCAGAAGTCACTGACCCCTGATCTAGCCCAATTGTATGTACAACAGGGGTCAGGCAATGAGCATGTGTCCTTCCCAGTGTTGTTGTGCAACTCCTATTTATGGTGGCCATTTGCACATCAGGAAAAAAATGGGGGGTGGGGGAAGGTATCATCCAAAACAGAGAGAGGCCACAACATTTTCATATAAGAATGTATAAATACAGGCTGGCATCTGGTTAGAGAGTCTTGATGGTTGCTATGGTTGGAATTGTGTACCAGCCTCTCAACAGCCTAAATCTTCCCGTCAATGCCACCTTTTCTCTGCTGCAGCTGAAAAAATTCCATAAGGGGTTTAAATAAAGATCCCACTTGTTCCTTAAGTTCCTTAGGTGGCTCAAAGTGGTGGCATCTGGACTACTGCCAGTCCCTGAGCCATTGGCTGCTGGTTCCTGGCATGGTTCCAGGAAAGAAAGAAAGAATTTCAGCCAAAGGGCACAAATATGGTGCCAATCCCTGGCACATGGGGAGGGGTGGTGGTGGTCAGTCCCCTGTTTCACATAAACTAAGCAGTACTGCCTTAAATTACATGTATGTGCCACAATACACTATTCAGAGATTGGAAAAGTTCCTTTTCTTGGAATACAATTAAAGCACCCATGCTGGCTCCAGGAGTCTGGGACCTTTATTCCCCAAGCAACTTTGCCAAGTTCCAGATATCTAACATCTCCATCCCAAATTCCTCCTGTATTTTTCACCTCTGAGAGAATATCTCCATGCCCTGAGCCTAACCTTTCTGTACAATTGGGTAACCAATTTGGATTTCAGGGACGATTTAAAGCCCCAACTTTTTTAGGGAGTGTAGGGGGCATAATCACAGCTATCAGTGTCCTACGGCAAAGAACAAATTGATTGATGGCAGATAATCAAAGTGAGGGAGAGCCTTTGACTCAGGCAATATTTACATTATATCTGTCGCTTAAGACATTTTACTGCCAATCAGTTTCCTTAAGTAGGCTGGCTAGAACAATAGGGGCCTTTCTATCAAATCCCCCCTCACTTGACTCAAGCCGATGCCGACAAAGTTCACCCTTTATGTAATCCGCAAAGCATGTGCACTGGTTGCCTCAGCCAAGTTTTGAGATATATATCCCCCTGGGTTGGGGAACTGGGTTGGAGGGGGAGTCTCTCCTCACAGTCAAAGCGTTGAAGGTGGTCCTTTGCAGTTTGCAACCAAGCCGAGAGCATACAATTGGCTTTGTCCACAGATGAGGTGTCAAAGTGATAGAAATTCATGTGGG